AAAACTGAAAATGAAATCATACTTGCATCTAACATCACCTTAGATCACTCTAGTAAGTGTTTCGAGTGAGTAAGTTTGTATCCTATGGGCAGATGCGTTTTCAAGACAGAACAAGATACCAGTCATGGCCAAAGTTAGTTACATGATAGAGGTTCGCAGAATGATGAGTCGAGTACCTTTTTGTAAAATCCAACAGTCTTCACTATAACACAATCCTTGCTCAGTTTTCGGTGAGACCAATTCACGATTTAATTGCGACCAACTTTTTATTCAAAATGAAACTTTTTGTCACACTAAGTCATCGAGGCGCTCGTCAAAACTGCCAACTTTTCTTAACCCTTCGCTTGACAGAGGGCCAGCAGAAAGTAAGGAGACGTAAGCACGAGAGGGGCGATAAGTAATGACGAATACCTCTCGGGTGTCTTAACGACTCATTGATAGACTGAGTGTGTCATTTTCTGATTGGCCCATGTAATTTTCACTACTCTGTTGTGATAGGTCAATCTGGTTAATCCAATGAAAAGCTCGTGTACAGGTGACGAGAGCGTGACTAATAGACCTGTTGAGTTCATGAGTCAGGCTGAACGGTGCTCTCCAACTGAGAGTTGCTATAGTTGGATCCAATGCCCTATTTTCAGATAGAGTCGGTAGGACTTAATGCAAGTTTGCTCAATTTTTTTTCAAAATTATTTTTTCAGATATATTTATCTTATTTTGCAAACATTTGATCCGTATGAAACTTCATAAAGAAGAGATTTTTAAGCCGACCTCACCGGAAAACGATGGTGGATTCTCTATTACGACATTCAATTTGACACAGTCCACAAGACGATTTTCCTCATTTTAGGACTCGAAAAGAGAGTCTGACGAAGAGTTGGATTCCGAGGATTCCCGTGGTCCACTTGTTGCTATAATTTCTATTTCCAGAGATAGTATGTGGGCTGAAGAGAATCCGAAGTCCCCGCCACCAAGAGGAATCCATCATCGTCTTCTGGTGGGCTCGACCTTCGAACCTCCTTATAGCACACACTTCCATTCGACAATGATCTTTCGTCTGTGTAAGGAAGAGCCTCATTATAGCTGGAACATATTCTTGCTGTATCTTCAAGTTAACAACAAGTCAATAAGACTATCCGACTCTGTCCTACATGATATATATATACGCAAAAGTGTAAATTGAAATACATAACTATAGATACATATACAATGATTTAGCCAATGGTCTTTCGTATGCTAGGGTCTGTAATCAAATTATTCAGAGAATACGACACAATAAATACACAAAAGCCTGAGTCTTTAAGCCTTGATAAATGAAGGAAAAAATAAATGAGATTGTATAATCTCGTAAGTCAGTGGGTAAATGCGAATGTAGTAAGAATATTCGGAAAGCTGGCAAGTTGACTTGCTTCCTTTCGGTGGAGTGGTTCCATCCGCTCTCTCTCTCTCCCTCTCATTCAATCTATCAGCCAATCATAAGTAGCTCCTACACTATACTCATCCATTCACTTCATCCAACGTATTCCCTAATCTACCAAGTTCGATGTCTTTCCGAAGATCGATCGAAGGCCGAGTTTATCTCCTCTTCTGTAGGTTGGACCCAGCATTTTTGGGCTACGCTATCCTTCGGCGAAGAGGTCAACATTCATCGCCAACACAAGGTCAACCACAAAAGAACAAAATCTTGTGACAGCCAGTTTCTGGTAGGGATAAATGTTTTGTTCTAAAAGACGACATGCTCGAGGATAGTGCTAAAGGTTTCTTTCAAAAAGCGTTTTTATACATCATTTTCTTATTAGTAGCAGTCTTCCTAGAAAGAAGGCATCAGAGCAGGTCGTATAATTGCCGGTTTAAAATATATTTCTTTGTAAAGAGATATTATCCTACCGGCATACATTTTTCTGCCTCTCAAAATCTAAGGTCATATGCTTTCTCTCAGCAAGCATGAAATTTTGTATAATCATTGACTTCAAGGTTCCAGACTTAGTTTTGTATTTATGGTTAGAAATGCGATTAGGAATATCATCAACATAAGCTGTTCAATTTGTCATCATCCCTAATAACCGAATCCCCACAACAAAAAGGTAATTTTTTAAGCGTTCCTACGTCCATTGTAAACCATCCTAACACTTCTTTCATGCTCATTACGAGAGAGTAGGAAACTAGCTAAGCTTTCCTCACTATATTGTCAAACTACGAAAACAAAAAAAAACATTTTGGGTTCAAAATTACTTCCTCTATCAAGAGCACCTCAAATTTCGTCTCATGGACTGCATTAACCTGAACGTCGTAGTGAAGTCAAAAACGGTTGCCGAACAACTGGAGTCGGCTGTTCTTTTCTCATGATTCGAGTAATAAAAGTAAATTGTGTTCCGTTGAGATAACATTGCTATGGTGACTCGAGCTTCGTGTGAAAGTGCCTGATTAAGAGCCTTCCCGGTTTGGTTTTAGCCTGAAGTCCATATGGTAATGAGATCCAGCTCTAGGGATGTCAGTCAAATGGGAGGAGAGACGAAATCTCAGCTCAATGCCATTGCAATTGAAGGAAGATTTATTGTGAACTGTGCCATTTTGAGTAGCCTGATTGCATTAAACGAATATGGAGCAATGGGAAAGCATTGTCGTCTTCTGGAGAGATCGACCTTCGAATCTCTTCCTAAGGCCCTTTAACACGAAAATGGATTCACCAAAGTAATGTCATCTCACCGTGACCCATTTCAACTTGATACATGCTTGTGTAGACTTTCATTTCACAATAAAGTGCCATATGAAGAGAATTGTAGGTCGATCTTATGATGCGACAATGGATGATTCCCGTTGTTATGTAGCCATTTGGCTTTCTTGATTGTATCCTCCTTCGTTTCGGGTGAAAATGGGCTAAGGTTTCGTCCATCCTTTCAGTTGAATGAACTTATGCTTGCAAAAGCTTCAAGTTTACATCACATCAAGAAAATTATCCTATTCTATCCTATGTTATATACATACTTATGACCAAATAGATAACCATAAAATTATTTGCGGCATTTGGCTTTTTTGTGATTACTCCGAATAATCACATACAGTAGTCAGCTCACATGTATTATATTCTAATTAACAGGAAAGTTCTCTAGCCAAATTATTATCTGTCTGTCTATATCCGTACATTTCAGTTTTCAATTTTTAGTATGTATGGTATGTAGGATAGACTCGTGATCAAATAAAAGCTGTGGCAAGAATACGTGCCAGCTCAGATGATTGCCGCCTCTGATGGACAATATATGAGGATTAGGCTCACTTATATTTCTAGTGGAAGTGTGTGTTATGAAGAGATTTGAAAGTCGAGCTCCCCAGAAGACGACGGATTTCTCATGGTGGGATTGACTTCGGAATATCTTCAACACACACGCTTTCAATTTAACTGAAATTGAGCCCAGCAAGTACAAACCACAGGAGTCCTCGAAATCCGACTCTCCGACGGGAGTCAGCTGTCGTCTTCCGGTGAATCGTTTCACACCATACATTCTCATGTGAAACGAAGATCTAGCGATTTTTTGCTTTTTGCAGTTTGGAAGGCGAAGAGAACCAGTTGGAAAGAAGGAAAAGCTAAGTTTCCATACCTCGCCTGACTCATCCTTATTTGGTGTGGTCTGACCTCGTCTTCACAACTTGCTCGGGTAGTTTGGTGATAAGAATGGCAAGACACACTGACGATGCCGGCGAAACGTATGATAATGTACCAAGTCCACGGTCCGCCGCTGGAAAATATGATAACTATGATAGCAGAGGACTTAGGACAAGGTGCGTTTAATTAAGTCACCTTGACAATACGACCAAGTTGCGAAAATTACATAAGACCACATCTATCCATCGAAAGGAGACTGCGACTAAAATAGAGACCATAACATCTTGATCTTCGTATCTACGTCTGTGGCGAAGTTATTCTTCGAATTGCTAGCTCATCTTTTTGCCTTCATTTGCTTTACACTCTTAATTTCAATTTCGTTTTTCCTCTTGTCGTCCACCTTCATCAGTCTCTTCGGTAAACTTCACTCTCTCGCTCCTGTTTCCAATGGAGACGGTCACCTCTAGCCAGTTTGTGATGATTGAGGGCCGCAGAATCGCCGGTGACAGCCTCGAGGAGACCGGAGCGGCGTCAGCTGCTCCCGCTTCATTGTCCTTCTTCTCTGGTCCCGGCGGACTCACCTCGACCACTGGCCATCCGATGGGTCTGGCGCCGACCGCTTCAACTAGTCTCTCAGCCTCACTCGTCCCACTACATCATCATCATCACCACCATCAGCAGCAACAGCAGCAGCACCATCACACACGTTACCCCTGCCTACCGGTCCATCTGTTAGCCAGCAAGCCAAACAACGGCGGACCACATGCGACGGGGCAACTCCGGCCCCGGACTCATCGTCATCATCGTGATCGCCATCAGCATCTTCACAAGCGGCCCCAATATCAGCGTCATTCTTCACATGCCGTCGGCTCATTCCATCAACTCTACAACCCACAGTCTCAGATGTTTACGGCCAAGGCGACCGGTCGGGAGGCAACAAAGCCTGAGACCCCGACACGTCAACA